CATCGTGGACACAAGCCTTTAGAGAGCACGAATTCTCAAAAGAAACTCGTAATAATAATGGTACGATTTGATCGTGAATTCGCGGATTATTTTGCAAACTCGGCGCGATCTCTTTCAAAGCGACGTCACGGTTTCTCTCGCACAGTACCGTTTCGTCCATTTACGCGATGCGCGCTTTTACTATATTGAAACCACCGTTTGTCGAAGGAGCGAGAGAACGCTGCCGGCCGTTTCTCCACAAGAAACAGATCTTTTTCAATTACGGTAGGAACGGCCGCGCCGCAGGACGTACGGTGTAATCTTGATCGCCGCTTATATCCCAGGCCCGTGTAAAATCCTTGGGGAGCCCTCCCGCGCTTCGTGGTACGTAAGGACGCTTCAGTGAGCAAAAACCCTTAACTGATGCAGCCCTGCTGCCGGTCCCCGGACGGTCGTCAGCAGAATTCCGGATCTGGACCACACATGTGGTACTTACGCGAACGCTCACGAAGGTATCACCGTCGCAGGCACAAGGGTTGCTCCGAAATGCACGATTGACAGAATTGTACGCGTCCAGTGGGCGAATGATGGTCTTCTTGTGATGTTAAATATGGTAAGAACGCGCCATCGGTTATCATAAAAGTTTTGTTGTCGCTTATCGCGAAAGACTTGTTTCAGTTCATATTTTCTTCAAGTCGTTAATTTACTTGCATAAATATTGAAAGAGTTTTAACTTAGCGTTTCAACATTTGCTATTATTTCTCATTATTATTTAGAAATTTTAGAGAAAGTAAAAAAACTCGGCACATGCGTTGACCAAGAGTTTAACAGATAATTGCAATAGTTAAATTGTTTAACTATAATATTATAAATTATTTCTCTCTCTCTCCCTCTCCCTGTCTCTCCCTGTCTCTCTCTATCTCAGTCTCTCTTTACTTTCAATTTTAACAAAGAAGTATAAGGAAATTTTTTTCTAAGAAAAAAAAGAGAAAAAACTACATTTTTAGAGCTTTAGTGGAATGCAAATTCTATATAATATCAGTACTGAATAGTGAATCGTGGCAAGAGTGTCAATAATGAACGTCCGGAAAAACATCGTCTGCGTCTAATGTTCCGGCAAATTGGCTTCGCGAATGTAGCCTCGCGAGTCGTCTCCCGGGAGGAATCTGCAAGTACGAGCGGAAGATTCTTCTCGTTGCGCCGATTTTTTTCCCGTAAGTACGTCACGTCTCGACGATACCGAGGGATATATCCGTCCGCGCGCCTCGCCGAAATCGGCTCCGTCTCGCGAAACCAACCATCCCCGTAACTGGGATAATTTGTAAGGAAGCGAGAGACGAAGACTCACCCCACAATCACGCACGTAAACGCTCTCGTGGCTGCGTAAAATTGTTCGGAAAGAGGGGAGATATACAGCCAAGAAAAGAAAACTTCGTAGCGAGCATCAAACTAATTGGCGCACGGTAGTTGAAATGGAAGATGAGATAATCGCTATGATAAAACGTTAAAACGTGTGTAACATCTTTCCATCCTCGTAATTTCGTTGTACAGCTTAAGTTTTATTTTCTAATTTATTTAAATGTATCCCGCCGTAGATTACACAGGAAAACAGAGATCTCGCGCGAATCAACCGCCGCGTTTTCGTCGGAGGGAAAAAAAAAATTCCCCGAGGAAATACGTAAATTAGGATTCGAGAGGGAGAAATCGACGACGGTATCGCGAATCGATTCGCTTCGCGCCACTTACATGCGCCTCCATCTCGCGCAAAGGTCGCGTATAACGAGCCGCGATTTAAATGCGCGCCTCAGTCGTCCACAATAGGGACGTCGGGGCGGCGGGTATTTAAAGAAATATTTTAATTGCAGGACGTAAGCCGCTTACGTGTCCCCTCTCTCGTACGTTAATAAAAACAGCCCCACCCGCCTATTTCAAGAAAGCGGGCTCGTATTGCGCGACCTACGTGGAAAGTAATTCGACCGCCTCTCGTTTCGCTCGACCAAAAATTATTCGCCCGGCGCCCACCCTCGCCCGCTTAGGAAGAGAAAGCGGCTCGATTAGAAATCGTAATTCCGGATTAGACAGCTCCTCTCGTAACTAAAGGTTCTCGTTTAAAGCGGGACTTCATTTCTTTACCAAATTTTCCGCAGATCAAGGACCAAGCGAGATTTTCGATTTACGGAGTTTTTCTCTTTAGGTCGTCTATCGCGGGGAAATTATACTTAATCATGGCAGCGCATTGCTTTGGCGCGCTGCTCTCTTTTTTTTTAATCAGCTGGAAGTCCACATTTTTTTCCAGCAGTGCTTAATCAAGATTGAGCATGAATTTCAAGGAATTTTTAGAGATATCACGCTGGTATAACCTAACGGTTGAAAGGCGTCCCCACAAAAGGGTAAACTTAAGAAAGAAAAAACATTTTTCCAGCACGGCCATTTTTATAATACAGCCATGCACGTCAGTATAAAATCGCGCCGGCCTCCCGAGGGACGTCGATTTAAGCTTCCCGTGGTAAGCGTCCGGGCTGTGAAGGAGGAACGTATAAAAGAAGCGGCGCCTCTGTAATTGGGCATCAAAAGGCGATATTTCGCGCGTTCGCCGACGAGCGACGACCACCCCCGGGCGTGGGAGAAGAGGAGGGCCAACGGCGACCCGGGCTCGCTCTCGTGGATCTCCGCGATACCACGTGGCCGCCGGACCGCGAGGGGGTGGCCTTTTACGATAGGGTCGGTTCTACCCCTCCCCCTCCCCCGAATGATGATGGTATGCCTTGTTACCGCGGCCGCTGAGAAGAGAAGTCGCGCTCCCCCGGGTAATATCGCATACAATTATGTCCACAGAAGGGAAGACACACATGCATTATGGATGCGGTATGCCCGCCCTGTACGTACCCTCCGGTAAATCATGTCACAGGGTTGGTTAACTCTGCAAATGATCTGAGGCGTTGCGCGCGCCTCGTCGGCCACCCAATCTTTTCTTTTTTCCTTCCTTATTACAATTTCCCCGTTTGCTCTCGCGATTACACTTCTGTGTAACAGCTGAAGTACATTTTAAGGAAAAGAGAGAAAGAAATTTTGCCGCGACGCACGATGCGCGTGAAATTATTTCAGAGACTGCGAGCGACTAAAAGATACGTCACGGTAATTAGAGCTATTGTCTTTTGAACGTGACTGGAGAGTGAGGTTCGGGGTTAAATTAAATCTCTCAAATTTCGTTCGTTAGAATCAAACGAAGTTATAAACAATCGTGATAATAAATTGCATTACTTGAAGCAAACGTTTTAAATCAGCTAATCTAGTGATCGGTAAACGGAAAGAGTAGAAAGTAACGTTAGCGCGCAATTAACGTTCAATTCTACAACGTACAGAAACGGAATGTTCGAAGTGCGGAATAAAATCCACGTCGTGACATAGAGCACACTTTATTTCTCAATTAGTATTATAATCATCATTTAGCATTGACCGAAATCGAATATATATATATATGTATAATATATATTCGAATGTATATATATATCGTATATTTCTTTTTAATCGAGTTCAATATAATCGTAGTAGATTAATTTATTACCAATACAAGTGTAATTAATCGTAATGTATTGTCTGAAAGTATCACTGTGTTGCATCCACTGGTCGCCCCCTTCGCGCTACGTCAAAACGGGGATCAACGGGAAACGGCTCGGGGCGGGGGGTGCGTCCGGGGAGGGCAGGGTATTGTCGAGAGGGCACCGATTGTTTAATTTCTTTTTTTATATAACGCGCGCGACGCATCTCGTGTCTCCCGCAAATCCCGGATTTTCTGGCGCTTACAAAATATAAGTGGGCCCGGCACACGTCGAGAAACACGAGATTCGTGCCGATCCCACACGCATACGTACAGGAAGTACGGGGAGACATTTACGTTCAGGGGAGAAGACGAAGGAAAAGAGAGATAGCAAGAAACGAGTACTAAGAGAAATGGGAAAGAGGGAAAACACCAGAAGCTTCTTTCTCCGTGACCAAGGATGCTCAGTGATTTTTTTTTCTTCGGGGATCGATAGATCCGGCGCGTCCGCTCGATCCCCAAATAGATTAGATTACAATTAGAACGCGGAGAGCTCGTCGCGCTCGTCCGAGAAGCACACGCGCTTATAATAAAATTTTTTTAATACTTCAATATAAAAAATTGTCCGTTTGTTTTCAGCTTTCTTTTAAATATATGTTTAAATTAAATGCAGTGAAAGTAACAGACAAAGTTAAGTCAGGTATACCATTATTTCCAAGATAGAGTAGCAATTATTACATTAATGTTAAGAGGGTAAGCTTTTCGTTACACTTAATAAAAGATCTATGGCATATTTAAAAACGCTAAAAATGAATAACGCAAAGATCTAAGCGGTTTAATAAGCGATTTATACCTTCTTTGGAAATTATCTTAGATCACGGAGAGCTAGAAGTATTAAGAAAGAATATTAAATAAGATAACAACGCGTGTTTCTCGCGCGAAGACGCGCGAGCTCGTCGCTGAACAATATTCAACATTTAACAATAGCCAACATTTATAGAATAAGATACCGATTTTAGTATTTATCGTTAAGTTCATCCTCTCTCGCGATCGCGCCAATCTCGCCGCCTTTCTCGTGTTTCTTCTTCTCCCTCTTTATCCGTCATGCCAAATTGCGCGAACCGGTCCACGAACAATCGAACGCAAAGCGCGGACCGACGCGGTATATATAAATTAACATAGTGTATCACGCAGCAATATAAATTTCTTCCCGCACAAGTAGTAATAGCATATATATGTATATTTCTCTCTCTTCTTCCCCCAGCGCAGTGTTTCTCAAATTTATTTCTTTCCTTTGCCGACCGGCAAGAATTTTCGATCAGGAGCGGATTTGCACGAACACTGAAAATATTCGATCACGGGTCCTGCAATTAATTAAACGATCCCCAAAATAAGTCCGTTCCTAAATGTTTGTCTCGTTTTTTTATCTTACACGTAGTATCACAAAAATACTGTCACTTTCTACTTTTTTAAAAGAGGTTTGTGCAATTAATTGTTCAATTAAGGTGCCGTTTTAAAAGATTTACTTTAAATTTACCTTTGAATTAAAATTTTTTAATTACAAATTACACACTTCTAATTATTTTATTTAAAAATTATCTCATATTTACTAAAATTTATTAAAATTATATTAAATATTAATCTGTGAAAACTATTACAACTATTGTTAGGTTTTCAAAAATTACTAATACGTTGTCTAGTGTTCACGTATTCTAATATTGGCAATAATTTTGAGATACCTTATTAATTGTGTAGAATAAGAAATTTTTATTTTTTTTTAAATTTCCGTTGTTCATTGGGGACCTAGAAAGTATTAGCCTCGGACCTTCAACAATCATCATCCGCCCTTAATTCACTACTCGGGATAGTCTGCGGTTTATTGCTATCATTCTAATTGACAAAGCTTCTTCAGTCTCTCATTATATAGACAAAAAACATGGCGATCGAACTGTGAGGGGTAGAAGTTGTTTTTTCCAATCTTCGGTTACTCGCATCAGTTTAATGAGCATTTGACTTTCTCTATATTAGATTTCTGTTACATATAATGCAAGGTTTATTAAAAGTGAACCGTTAATATTAACTGTTTGCAAGGTAAAGGCTGAAATTAAATCTTCTTAATTTCAACTATCGTAATCTTGTGTCAATATATGTATTAGTTCTTGCAGTTCGGTGATTAATCTGTGGCCATCGACTACTAGAGGACAATTTCAAACCGTGCACGCGCGTTTATATTTAAGTTAAATTTAATTTTAAGTTTTAAGAAGCCAGAAAATAATTCCACCATACGGCGACGCGCAAAATACACCATGCGAATAACCGAGAGTGAAAATCAGACGAGATTACTGGAACGAAAGTGATCGTAGGATTCGACGTAGCGTCGCCCTTACACAAGAGGAAAATTAATATAAATTTCTGGCAGATTACACCCTTCATGCCCATTAATTAGCAGAAGTAGTAATTCAACAACACGAAACAATTGCCATTCACTTTCGCCCCACTTTGTCGTCCCTCCCTCCATTCCCATGCAAATCTCTGCGACGTTTTGAGAAACACTGATCCAGCGATGGCCCCCACCGGCTAAACACCGATGATGTTAAACTCTTAATATTGCACAACATCGATAACACCTCGAGTTCCGAAAGGGATTTCGTTTTATCTCACAGCGATTACAGTGTAGATGAAATTTGCATGCGGACCATTTTTCCCACGTTCCACGACTTGTTCTCCGTTCATTACTCGTCGTCTGTCTCAAGTAAGGACTTAACTGGCGACGGTGATAGCAGCAAGTGATAACATTGGTGGTATTTTAATCGATATAGCGATTGTAAACTTTAATTATGCTTAATCGTGAACGAACATGCCTTCGTTATCGGCGTATCGCTCTGCGGGACAAGGAACATTCTCCGATTTGATGGCACTTCTACTACAACTATGTCACTTTAATACTCGTATTATTGTAGGTACTCTAATTCCAACGGAATGTAAGAGATTATCACTATTTTTAAGCCATCCGTCTCCCTTTACATCGCTCTACGCTACGTACGAAAATTCTACAACTTTGTTAAAAATTCTTTTAGCTCTATAATCTACTTTATTAGAGAATCTTACGTTATTGCTCGGAAAGTAATTTAACGAACGGCACAAATTATTTGGAAAAGCTGAAAGCTACGAAATCATATTATTCTATGTCCTCTGCGTATCTGTTCTTATCCTATCAGCGGCGCACTCAATTCGGAAAATGTCCCGAGTCTGAAATCCTTCGATTTAATAGAATCTCATTCGGAATTCAATGTATATGTAATCAAGAACATTTTGCCAGTGCGGCGATTACAGTGATATAATAATGACAATAAAATATATGAACAATGATAATGAAGAGATAACGCGGTCGAGTCTCGCCGTCGCCTTTATCGACAATATGTATACGTGTAAGTAATATACTCTAGTGTCATTACATTATGCTTAGCAGATATCTCGCTCGAAGATTTACCTAAAATCCACGTGGCAACAAATAACCAAGTTCCTTAATTACTTTCATTGTTCTGGCGGTTGAACTCTCATACAAAGTCAGAAAGGAGGAAAGGAAATCTGACGTCAGGACGTTGCGAAAGTATAATTGTTGCCGGGCGCTCACGTAAAACATACTTAATATATAAACATTAAACGGGAAGTCTGCTATCTCCTCATTCTCGTTTTACTCCCGCGCCGTTACGTCGACGGTTAATAATTAATTAAAACTATTACTTCTGGCCGTTTTACAAAAAATTATATTTACATTCTGAATAATTAATTAAAATTTTCTTTAAAACGAGGCGAATTATGTAAAAGATGTCGCGAAAGATGTCGGAAAAGTTTCGAGTGTGTTGAAAATTCAAGAAAAAAAGCCAAATTTTAAAATATAATACTAATATGAAAAATTAAATATTATATTATTTTTTAAAATTTCACATAGTTTTTGAAAATAGTACTAGTGCCTCTCTGGTACGGAAATAATCTTTCATTTCTTCCGAAACCATCACAGCTAAATATTTCAATAAACCGTCGAGCATTTTTCTGCAATTAAAAATAAATCTGAAACAATATATACGTGCGAATACAAAGAGCAGTTGATTGAACAATGTTCCCGATAAATCGATTTTCCATTTTCTCAAAGTTTTTTGTTGCACCATCAACATCGACCCGAAAGTTTTCTGACAGCCGCATTGAACCGTCAAAAACAATCAGTGCCAGCAATTATCTATAATAATCACAGATAATGATGTCGTGGAAGAGATTTGCCGCCATTTCGCTTAAAGTAAAAATCCTAACGTCTAGCTAGAGAGTGTCGCCTAGCAATTAATAAAAAAAAAGAAAGACAAAGGAAAGTGAAGAGCGAACGGTAAGCAGCCAAAAGAACAGTTATTCGATTGAGGAATGGAAACACGAATTGCGATCATTATTATCATACGAGAACATTACACGTGTAACGAGTTTGCTGCGCCGCGCGGACCAACGCAAAATATGCGCCGCGGTTGAATGATCAAACTCTCGCGAGGAAAGCCGTGCGCTTAATTAATTAACATGATAAATGAGAGTCATGAAGTAACTTACGCGACTTAGTGGCCAAGAATCCTTTGCGAAAGGAGGGCGAGTTAGTGGAGCGAGATAAGACTGCTCCAGCCGCGTTAAAATTCACTCTTACGTAACAATCATATACATATGTAACAATTAAAAATGCAACAGTTAAAGAGGAATCGCAAAATCGCTTGATAGTCGTCTCCTTTATATTGGCAGCTCAATGACTTCCTAGACTGAACTGGCATTACTTCATTGACGCCTGGCATTACTTGACTCACATCTAGATTAGCAATTCGAACTGCCCTCTGTTTGATATTAATAATTATATTATTAATATTAATATTGATAATATAAGTATTAGCAGAAGACCTCTAAATTCTAACCAGGTTTGGCGTCAATGTCGACAATAAAGTAATGCCGCAGCTAAAAGCCTTCACTTACCTCAGCGACGAAGTCAACAACACGGCTGGAGCAATCTCACCCCGTCCGAAATCCACAAGCGATACATATTATCCGAACGAAGTAGTTCGCAACAGAACAAACAGAGCGCGAGTTTATCGGCTCGTTACCGAAACGATACGACACTTTCGGTGGCGAAACTAATTAAATGCCAAAGGGAACAATCGGGAAATTCGCGCTCCCACCATAAATCGATTCACGCTAGGCTCGATTTTCTTCCTTTGTGCACTCGAACTATATTATTGAAAGTATCTCGAAAGCATCTCGACGAGACGGAAGATAATGTAGAAAAGTAGATGAGGAGAGAGCCGCCCTTGACAGTGAACTGCTATCGTAGGTACTTTGATGTCTGAGTGTTTGTGTATGCGTGTGTGTATTTATATACGTATTAATACAGTCTGCGTTTTTTGTATCTGTATATGTGTGTCTGTGTGTGTGTGTGTATGTCTAATACGTCTATATGTACCTATGCATACTCGTGTGTATGTGTATTTCTGCGCGCGCGGTCCTTACGTCAATAAAATACACTATAACATTATATATATACATTAATATGCATAACAGGTCTATTCTCGGGGGGGTGGGAGGGGTCTATGGGGAAGGAGGTCTCCGTATAGAGGGCGTGGAGAAAGGTCTAGAGAAACTCGGGACTGTGTCTTGGACGTAAGCTTGAAACCGCAACGTAAGTGACAATAAGATAGATAAGATAGGTCGTCGAAAAGTCGTCTAGGTTTTAGGCTAGCTGGAGAGCAGAGTAATCCTGTAATGGTAGATGCTAGTGAACGAATACGCAGGGTCTTTGGCTTCAAAATGCGCGGCGTCCTCTTAGGGTAATGGCACTACGACCTGCACGTAGGTCACGGGGAAGTAACCGGTGCGGCCGTCCAGGCTACCCTCATACCAATTCTCGTCGATCTTCTGGGTCAAGGTGATCGTGTCGTTTTCCTGCAAACAGGATGAAGTCACTAAGCTGTAAACGTCACCGACTATCCGCCTCTAAAGAGATCAAAAATTCAAAAATCAAGAAAGAATTTAAAGAAAAGTGATGAAAGATTCTCTCCTTTAAGCGTAGACATTGGAACGAGAACGAACGGGAGAGTTCGTAATGTACAAGATCTGCTTTAAATATAAGCTCGTATCTAAAATACCATCTTTGAAAAAGTCGTTTGAAAGATTAGAGTGTCCTTATATAACTGTCTGAAGAGTATCAAACACTTTTTAAATGTTCTCTTGACTTTTCTTAAACGACAGCGGGTCCTAAGAGAACCCACCTTAAATCCAAGTTCGCCGGGATTCTCGGGCTCGAAGTCGTACAGGGCTGTGCAGCACGGCGATCTCTGTATCGGCGTTCTCGCTGGCGATTTGCTCGGCGAGGGCAAGGGTGAAGCTGAAAATAGTCAGCACAAGTGTGCTAAACTACTAGAAGTCGCGCTAATCTGACGTAAGAGAAAAAAGAAACAACACGTCGCAGTGTGCAACCGTATGTCGCATCGCGTACGTACAAACTACACACTTAACAATCTGCCGTGGTGGTCGTGAAACCATCTCGCGCGGAAAAACCGTGTCGCGCAAAGCAGCGGTGTGTGGTGTCGATCTCTTTCCAAATGCGAAAGTAAAATGTGGCCCAGAACGCTCGAGGGTGCAAGTAAGCCCCTCGAGTGAAATCAATCACCGACGGAAGCTGCGTGAGGCTAATTGAAGTCTTCGCGGCAGAAGGAGACAGCTCTTCCCAATTTCTATACAAGGCATCATTTGCCTAAGATATCTCGAGGAAGAATATGAGATTTTTAGATAAAAAAAAGCGTATCACTTCTAAAATCAAAAAACTACCAAGTTAAAACGTAGGAAAGAATGCGTTTCTCGCATACTATTCTTTTACAAAATTGAAATAAACACTGCCAATTGCGTAACACTTGTAAATTAGTAAAATTTCGCAAGAATCGCTGCGCTCCTTCTTGCAACTTGGATTTCATTCGATTGCCTAAAAACTATTCAGCGCAATCCTCTTCTACGGCACGGGGTGGCAGGACACTATCTAATAAACGTGCATGTGGCGGTCAGTTATCAGCGTCGGTTATAGAAAGCGGTGGAGAATCTCAATCGAAAGGAAAAAAAAAACGAAAGAAAACGGCGCAGGATCGGTCGCACCAACGGCCTCGATTGCTAATCCTGCGGGGACTCGACGTCCCGTTTTCTAGATCATTGTTGGATAGAGCGAGAAACTTTGGACAATTACGGTGAACGTTAAGCGCACTTAACAGCGCAACAATTGGTGCAACCGCCCTCGAGCGACTCGAAAAGGAATTCGTTTGTTCGCCGGACAGAGAGACGAGGAAACCCCCATGCAAAGTTTACCATTGGTAGATTGTGGCGGGTTTCCGGCCGGAAATAGCTCGAGCTGCGAGCGCTTCCCGTCCCCGTGAATCGGAGAGCCGGCCCGACTTGCCCCTACATTGTGTCAGAAGGACAGACAGGTATGCCACATTATACACACAGCACAATCGGAGGAAGAATGGGGTGACGAATGTGACAGTGTGGCGAGGGTGCGCGTGTGTACGTGTGTGCGTGTATCTCGCGCGTGATCGCGGCGGTCGATCGAGATCGAACGATTAGCGTCCGATACACGTAATTGACTGATGTCTGTTCGGCGGAGACTTATCTTCCAAGATTTAACTCAATCGAATATTTTGTAAACTTTGCAAATAAAGCTTGATTGACATAGCAATCCTTCAATCCGTTTTATTTTCTGCAATCTCATTTGTATCGTTCAACTTATGGACGTAGTATAAACGGACCCACCATGCGCTCTATGAAAAAGTGAAGCCAGAATAACCGAGTGAGACAGAAAATAAGGGGTTGGTCGATCGTAAAGGTTATTAATAGTAATGGTTCAGCTCGGAGTGTATCGATAAGCGCAAGAAAAGCACTGTATCCTTTTTCCCCGGTTTGCAGTTTCGCGTCAATCTTCAAGCCGATTGTCCGGTTAAAGTTTCCGTCTCGGTTCAAATTTAATCGATAGAAGATAAGAAAGAAAGCGATAACTTCGTTTCTATCGTAAAGAAATATTTCGGAGGATAAAACTTAGACGACTCGAATCCCGCTCCCGTTTTGACAAGTGCGTGGTAGAGTTTGTACGTGAGAGAAAAAAATGAAACACATAGAATATTAGACACATGTGTCGCCGAATATTTTGCCAAAGTCGCTTCCATTGCAGGGTAAGAGAGACAGGAGAATGCAATATGCCGGTCAATGTAGTACGTAGGGACACGTAAACGCGTCCCTCCCTCTCCCCCACGGCGTGACAGAAAGAGAATAAGGGACGAAGAAACAGTCAAACAGCCAGACCACCCGAGTGTCGTCGCGTGGTGTAGTAGAGTATTTGTGAAATGCGTTTTACCGTGAAGAGAGAAGTTCCCACCGTTCATATGGTCCAACGTCGGCAATCCGCTGTCCACGTGCAGATCCGCCAGTGTCTTCGGCACGAATTCCAACTTTGGTCTATTTGCGGCCTCTTCTTTCCTGAGGAGCAAGACATTTACACGTGAACGGCGTTGTCCGGGGGAAATGGATGCAGTTGTGCAATAAGGAACCAACCATTGTCGTGATTTTTAATTCTGCTAAGTGATCATGAATATAGTACTCTCCAAAAGTCAATCAGTGGATTATCGCTGAAAACGGTGAATCTTCAGTGACGCACTGATTGACTTTTAGTATATTATGAAAAAATGAATCCGATTCTTATCTGCGAAAAAACATGCACGCAAACATGGAATCGTATTTGGGGGGCGAATTGTAGTTCGATCATTACTTGAGGTAACGTTGGCGCGGAATTTTCTTCCTAACGTTTAGCGAATTTTGCTCCAACGGAGAAGTAAAGTTCCGCATTGCAGAACTGCGTCCAAATGATTGCTATAGTTATTCAAACGCGTAGACGCAAAAATGGATAACTCGATCTTCTCATTGTGAAAGATTCATGTATTTAGCCGCGACGCGGAAAGAAATGTGCGCGTTGAACTAACGCTTTGTGGAAAAATACCCGTAAAGTAAAACATCGTTTTAAAAAGAACAGCAATGTTTTAGCGCACATTTGAGAAAATTACGGAAATCAGTTTCGTTGACACTATCGGCACCGACTTTGACAACAACTTTTAATTGCACCGTACAGACGTACTTTTCCAAGAGTGTTTCCGTCAACCCCCTGAGAACCTCAGTGCACTGCTGATGATATTCGAGAAGAGCCTCGCTGAAAGTTGCCAATTGTGCCACTTGTTCGATCTGCAAAAGAACGACGTAAGAATCTCGAACTGCGCGCGTCGCGCGACGTCTCGGCTTAGCCACAACGGACTCACGTCGTTCTCCAGCAAATTGAACATGCCCATCTGCGCCAGATGGAGGCTCTCCGCGAACTTCTCCTCGGCCTGACGAATCTCCTCGTCTGAAACGTGAGAACCTGTTCGCAAACGGTTGCCCCGCCAACGGCATTAAAAAGGTTGCACTACTGGGTTGCTTCATTTCCTAAATCTAAACACTTACAGTACAGCGGGCACAATAGAAAAGCGTAATTAATTCTACGAGTGCGCAAATGTATTTCTAACACTAGAAAAAAAATGATTCGATCCAGTGTCGTCGAGTACTTTGATAAAATGGTAATTTTTCACCATTTCTAAAACTAGCAACGACGCGTAAAGGCTCAGCGCAACGATTTAATTTTACAAATATGTAACTAAGAAATGTATTTTAAGGATACAAATGTCTACCAGAAAACATTTCTTCGAAAAATCCTCAATTTTACGCAGATTTTCTAATTTTTCTAATTTTTTCACAGGACTTATTACAGAATTTTGCAGGAAATTTACGAACAATCGGTAGTATGTAACAAGTCTCCAAAAATACGGGTCTCCAAAAACACAGATTTTCTAAATTTTCTAATTTTTTTTACAGGATTTTACAGGAAATTTACGAGCGATCGGTAGTATGTAATAAGTCTCCAAAAATACGGGATACCAAAAATCCTCAACTACGGTTTTACCCGGATTTTCTAAACTTTCTAATTTTTTTTACAGAATTTATTACAAAATTTTACAGGGAATTTACGAGCGAGAGGTTGTATGTAAAAAGTCTCGAAAAAAATACGGGATACAAGCTCCTGGCACGCAACGGAAATCATACCAACATATGGTGACGAGGTGCCCGACCGCGCCGGACTTCCAAAATGCGGACTGGCGGATCTCTTTCCGGTCGCTAATAATCAAGCGTTCGCCACAAAAACAGACACCGATCATCAGCAGAAAGCGCAAATTCATTCGGAGCAAATGGCGCAATAGAATCGCACGACCGCGTATCAACATACCAATAAGTTTGAATTATAACAGTTTAAATAGCACGAAAGCGAGATGTATAACATTTACAAGAATTGCCATTATATATAAAATCCCGCCCAAGAGAATGTTAATGCTAATTTATTTTGCGCCGTACACATATCAGCCGCTATTTACTTATCAAAGTGATAATTAATTCAGTTACCCATTATTTGGAACGAATTAAAAATCCAAAGTAATTTGCGGCTGTGCCAAAGTTCAAAGGCTCGGAATTAACAGTTATTATACTCAATATGTGTTACTCTCATAAAATATCGTATATACCTATAATATAATTTAATATATCGTAACATTTGTGCGAGAGAAATTTATTCAGTTACTTGGCTTAAAGATATTAATATTTATAAATTGCGAAACACACGGATAACTCGCTTGTCAAAGCCACCGAACAGTTTTTTCCTTTCTTCTGTATCTTGAGCGACGATTCTGATGCAGCGAGCGAACTAATTACACGAACAATAATTTTCTCCGTATAAAACGCACATCAAGGCATTTTTCTCGCGTTCCACTTTCAAGTCCACATTACGACGCCGATTTGTGATTCTATTTGATCGTGCTCATGCAACGCAGAACATGCGAGTAAGAGATCCCCTTTCTATTGCAAAAAAAGTTGCACCATTTGCATCTACTCATGCAACGATTTTATCACGATTCCTATTTTGCAGGGGGAGGGCGAGTCATGTACGAGACATAATTCTATTTTCCCACGCGCATGCTAACAGCGGGGAGACGAGGCTGTCTTCGTAAAAGGCTTAAAAACCCACCGACGTTACGCTGGAAAAGTATAAGCAAAGAATCGAAATTGCCTGAAAATCTCGAAAGTGCAAAGAAAGCGACGTAATCGTCAAAGCGAATCGTTCGTGGACGTAAAAAATAATGCTGGAGAAAAAGAGATATAGAAAAGATATACGATGCAACTCACGAAAATGAAAACTTGAAAAGGATAAAAACCTTTATCTTTATGCGCGTCCCTTTTGTTCAAGTACACAGTTCACAGAGAAGAGAATTACAGAAATGTATAATAAAATGAACGAATGAAAAGCGTCGTTATTCAAAAACGACATTTCTGCGGCTGTTAGTCCTTACTTTTACAGAGGCGTATCGTTCCCTCAGCGCTTTATTCGTCACGTCTCTCTTTCGAAAATGGTGAAAATCTCGTAACCGCGAGTTTTTTTTCTCCCCGCTTTCCTCTTTCGGAAGAAAGTAATCTCGGTCATGGCGCTTTTGCCTCTTCGAGAACGGTGATTCTGCAGTTGTGACCTTCCGCCATTGCAGCGCGGTCCCGGCGTAATATCGTCTCTTTCGCGTTTTCTTTTATTACACCGCCACCTCGAAGATCGCGAGCGTGCGGCCCCTCTCGCGCGCCCCGAGGGCGCGTTTCGCCCGGCGTCGTTTCACTCCGCGCGTTATAGCTCCGTCACGGTTTTTATTTCAATTCATCGAGCCGCCGGGCGACGACGGCGTTCGTGCAAGGACACGCGCGACGACGGCTCGCTCGCCTGAATAAATCAATAGGAGCGCGGAAACGCGAGAGGACGAGAAGCGAGGGCAACATGCGGGGGACCTCAACGTACCTTTCGCCTGGCGTCTTCGCTTGCAATCGAAGTCCAGCCTACGGCCTTGCAGTTTCTTCCGATGGTGCTGAAATCAACAAATCGGTGGAGATCGAGCGCGTGCGAGGGGGCCGCGAGGAGGCGCGGCGCCTAGCCGAGCGCGACTATACACAACTTTTCCAATAACCGTACCATCACTTCTTTCAGATCCTTAGTCTGCAGATGGTGCAGCGGCTCGAGGAAGTTCTGCTTGATGTTATCGTCCAACGAATACTTGACGTCCGCCATCTGCTTCATGGCTTCGCCCATTTCAATGAGAGCCTGGGCTGCAAGGATTGATAAACATGGGGTGGAAGGTAAGGTGGCGTTCAGACAATACGACCTATCGATCCTCGATATTTCTCCCCCCTTTTTTTAATCGTAAGACTAAAATGTCAATAAACTTGGATGCGAAAGCAACTCTGACACGCGCGACGACTATTTTCTTTCATCAACTGAGAAATAATTACCAGGTGATCGTCCTCGTCCCCTGTCAACAAAATTGCCGCGTACAGCAGGGAATGATATATTTTTGGAAATGAGAGGAAAATAAAATCGTTAGATTTTAGTTTTAGTAAAGGTACTCGGGGTAAAAATAGCAATCGCCGTGAAAGTAATTTTAAAAGATGATCCCTGTTCGGGCGAGAACATTTTAGACAAGGAGGTGCGGATCGAATTTCCCCCGACACCGCGAAAAACGCGCGATCGTCCAAGTTTAAACTGCTTGTACCGAAAACGCTGTCTTCGCCCATTTTCTTGCCGTAAAGGAGCATGCAATCGCCAAGTACACCTTCCGGCTGGGGATAGGTGGACGCCTTTGCCTGGCCGCTGAGTTTGCTGATACCCTTGACCGCGGCCATCTTCGCCCTCGCCGTCGGGTTCGGTTGAAGGAACTCCTTCGTCTTCATCTGCAGCTCCTCCACCAGCTCGTACGTGACGTCTGTTTTCTATACATGACGTGTTTATGTGAAGCCTTCGTCTCTTGTCAATTCACTTCAACGGGGACGTCAGGGAATTCTTTATAAAGCTTTGAAATTATATTCACGATGCGTACGAAATGGCTTATCAATCCAAGAGTATATTTATTTAATAATGAATAAATTCTTGGCATAAATTTCAAAAGCATTATCGTCTTCTTTCAGGATTGTCCTTTATTTATTATCCAATAATTTATTATTCCCTGAGAGTATTAAATTTATTTATTTATTTATATTATTTAGCATGTATCATTTAAGAATCGGTAAGACTCAATTCATTTTTGACGAATCTTTACACAAAAGGTTTTTTAAAATAATCCTTGTAAGATTTACGTATTATTTGACCTCTCTCTTACCTCAAAATTGAAACTGCTATCGATTCTTTTCAAAATAGATTTGATAAAAATGCACACAAAGAATCTTTATCACAGAACTAAAGGCGATTGCAGAGATGAAATTTAAAAACGATTCTCAATAAAGAATTTAGCACGCGTCATTTAAGAAATGACAAGACGTAATTCATTTTTGGCCAATCTTTACGCGTGTTTCAAAGTCTTTTTGAAATAATCCATGTAAGATTTGCGCATTATTTGATCTCTCTCTTACCTCAAAATTGAAACTGCTATCGGTTCTTTTCAAAATAGATTTGATAAAAAT